CCGGTCCGAAGGATTTTTCAACTCTAGCACGTTTGCTACGTCGAGGTTCGGCTTCTTCACCGGATCCCTCGCTAGTATTTTCCATAGCTACGTCAAATGTTCGTTTTGACGTGCTAGGTCCATCGTTGGACTTGCATGGAAATACGTCTTCAAAGAATGATGCATTCCTTGACTCAATTATTGTGTTTTTATGTACATCCGGATTATTCGAATCGTACACTAAAAACCGATAAGCACTACTATTTTGTGCATATCCAATAAAAATACAATCCACCGTTTTTGGACCTATTTTTATTTTCTTAGGTGTTGGTACAAGCACCTTAGCAAGACACCCCCACACTTTCAAATATTGATAGGAAGGCCGTCTGCCTTTCCACAACTCGTACGGAGTTTTATCATATTTTTTCCGGGGAACCTTATTTAAAAGGTAATTGCTTGTCAAGATTGCTTCGCCCCACATGTTTTGTGGCAAGCCCGAACTTACTAGCATCGCATTCATCATATCTTTCAATGTGCGATTCTTTCGTTCGGCAACACCGTTTGATTGAGGTGAATAGGGTGCGGTACGTTCGTGTACTATACCCACACTAGCGCAAAAGTCACCAATTGGTGCTTCATACTCACCACCTCGATCACTCCTAACCGTTTTAATCCGTCGATTAAGTTGGTTTTCCACTTCATTCTTATAAAGAATGAATTTATCGATTGCTTCATGTTTATTTTTCAACAAATAAACATAGCTATAGCGAGTGCTATCATCGATAAAAGTAATAAAATATTTATTACCGCCACGTGTTTGTATTGATTTAAAATCACAAACGTCACTATGAATTAATTCTAGTGGTTCCGTTTTTCTTTCAACCGATTTGAAAGACGTTTTCGTTAGTTTTGCCTCAACACAAATATCACATTTGTGCTTCACATCAATTGTGAATTTAGGAATGTGTTCCATGTTAATTAATCTACGTATAGAATTAAAATTAACATGTCCTAGTCTACCATGCCACACATTGGAAGACTCAAGCAAGTAAGCAGAAGAGACTTTATTATTATTTTTAATAATAGTCATTACATTGAGCTTAAACAGCCCATCACATGCATACCCCTTGCCCACATACATTCCCAATTTGGACAAAACTAGTTTGTCCGACTCAAAGACCATGCGGAAGCCATGCTTGTTCAACAATGAGCCCGAGATCAGGTTTTTGCGTATCTCCGGGACGTACAACACATTGTTGAGAGTCAGCTCCTTGCCCGAAGTCATCTTCAGGACCACCTTGCCCACGCCTTCCACCTCGGAATGAGCAGAATTTCCCATCCACACCTTCTCACCGTTTGATGGCTCAAAGGTTGTGAATAGTTCCCGGTTAGAGCAAATGTGCCGGGTTGCACCGGTGTCCACGAACCACTCCTTGGAATTGGATCCAACGAGGTTGACTTCCGTAACCACAGCCGCTAGGATGATGTCTTCATCCTTTTGCCCACCTTGCACCAAGTTGACTTGGGAGTCTTTCTTCTTCCGTGGTGCCTTGCAATCCGAGGACTTGTGTCCATTCTTGTTGCAATTGAAGCATTTTCCATTGAACTTCGTCTTGGAAACGCCTCCCTTGGGACCGAGCTTGCTCTTCCCATTATTTTTATTTTTGGAGCTTTTAGCATGCTCCACCACGTTGGCCTTGGCGCCGTGAACAATTGGGAGTTTCCCATCGTTCTTCCGGTTATCCTCTTCAATCCGCAGACGGAGGATCAATTGTTCCAAGTTCATTTCCTTTCGCTTATGCTTAAGGTAGTTCTTGAAATCCTTCCAAGCCGGCGGCAATAAATGAATAATTGACGCCACTTGGAACGACTCACTAACTGTCATTCCTTCATCTCGAATTTCGTTGAAGATCATTTGCATCTCCTCAACTTGACTCAAGACCGTCTTCGAATCCACCATTTTAAAATCAAGGAATCGACCAACAACAAATTTCTTTGCGCCGGCATCCTCGCTTTTATATTTGTGGTCCAAAGCATTCCATAGCTCCTTAGCCGTAGCTAATTTGCTATATACGTCGTACAAAGCATCATGCAGCCCGTTCAACACATAGTTTCGGCAAAGGAAGTCAGAATGCTTCCAAGCCTCAACCGCGTTGAGAGATTGCACATCTACCTCACTCCCGGTTACAACCGGAGCGTCCTCGGTCAAGAACCTCGCAAGACCGAGAGTAGTGAGATAAAACATCATCTTTTGCTGCCACCTCTTGAAGTTTAACCCATTGAATTTCTCGGGTTTCCCCACAGAGTTGCTTGGCATGGTCACCATAGGGATAGCCCTTTGGTTGGCCAAAGCAGATGCACCGCGTTGTGAACTGTTGTTCACCGGTTCTCCGCTTTCAGAGTGATTGTCGTTCAGAACATTCTGCCCAACACCAATCTCGTTTTCTTGAGAAGTCATTTTCGTTTTCTTAACGTTTTTTCCGAAAACACAAAAAACAAGTTCGTTCACCAAAGTGACAAACTACAGTTTAAGATTGTATACCACAGTATAACAATCCGCAAATACGTTTTAAGATTGTACCCGTATGGTACAAAGCTTAAGCAACCAAATACGTTTTAAGATTGTTGGGTGTGTTTCGGAAAATAAAGAAAATTAATTAAAAGAAATTAATTAAATAAAATGACAAAGAAAACAGAAATGAGATGGAGCAGAAATTTGTCAAAGCTCGTGCTACGCACGATGTCCTTAAAACGTATTTGTTGCCTCCCACGGTGCTAGGAGCGTTGCAACAATAGTTTCCCAGGATACGATGACAACGAACTAATGTTTGAGCACACAAACAAGAGTTCCAACGAACGAGAACAAAGACTGAACACAGAAGGAATTTTCAGAGTGCTAGCAGTGTGTTTTTAGAGCTAAAACGTGTATGGAGTGCAAGAATGCGTGTAAGAACCTGTGTTGTTGCAAATCACCTGCCAGCCATTATATAGGAGGATTTGTTGTGTGAAAATAGTGAGTTAATGGACCTGAACGTTGGACATCAATGACCAGTCCGTTGGGCATTGAATCGTCCATTTAACGCTGCATTAAAAGATATAAACGTTGGACATTTATTGCTGTAAGGCCATCAGAAGACCCCTACGTAGTTCTGCCCGAAGGCCATCAGAACGGTTCAGAAGACCCCTACGTAGTTCTGCCCGAAGGCCATCAGAACTGGAGCAGTTCTGATACGCGATCATCAGAACCGGAGCATCTCTGCCCGAAGGCCATCAGAACTGGAGCAGTTCTGATGCGCGGTCATCAGAACTGGAGCACCTCTGGTCGTGGCCTTCTGCTAACTGGGAAAAAATATACGTTTCGGGAAGAAAACAAAAATTACCCGTATCTCTTGAGAGATGGATTTTTGGACGACATTCGTGTCCGCAGGTCGCCCGCGCACGCAAGTCGCGGTTTTTCTTCTCCGAATTCGTGATTTGATTTGCACCCCCCCCCCTGCGCGCGTGGAGAGAGCCTCTACCCTAAGGAATCTTAACTCCTTAAGGGGGGAGTCCCTTTATAAAGGGTTGCAAATCCCTTGGGTTTTCCGGTGTGGGAAATTAACACTAGAAACCCATCCTTTTTCCCAGTTTTTCCATTCTAACGGGTAAACTTCGAAAAGCGATTTCTCATTCACCCGTTGTCCGTTTTGAGCGTACCATATATCGAATTGTAGCCCTTAACAAGGACAATCCGAAACCACTTTGACCCGACCCAAATCGGAAGTGGACCCCACTCAAAAAATTGCCCCAAAATAGCCATTTAATGCAATTTTTCACACATTTTTCCAACACATATGCGTTGGTGGTGGTGAACCCGGACCCAGCATGGTGGATTGGGAGATTGGAGGGGGTGATTCATCTGGGATGTTGAATTGTTTAACGATTGGATGGAGCGGGTTGTTGGGCACTGCTAACTGGCAACCTGGTTAGCTCGGGATTTGAAATCTAGCGCTGATGATATGGAGGGTTTGGTTATGTTGGCCGAGGTAAAAGTTTTGTTCACAAAAAATAGGGTGTGCATTTCAATGAAAATTTGACATTATCAAAGAGTAATATGCATTTTCTTGGCATTTTCAAAAAAATGGCATTTTCGAACCGGTGGTGGCCAAGCTTTTCCGCAGGCTGCCGTGGATGTCGCTTCCATCTTTGTTGCTGCAAACAGTCTTGCACCGATACTTCACCCCGATGTCGTATCCACGTATCCGATACGTATCCGATACTGACACCTCGATGTGTATCCTTTGTAAATTGTCGTATCGCCGTACCCGTATTCGCGTATCGGCGTATCCGTGTCCGTGCAACATAGGCTGCAAAGGAGGCAATGGGTCACCACTCTACCATCGTTTACAGTCTTGTGCTCGGCAGTCTCACAACTCCCATCTCCTTCTCCGGCTGGAGTCCCTAAGTCCGCCTTTGAGGTGCACTTGATAGACGGCGACTCCCAAATCCCAATCACTCCCTTGTTTATCGCTAAATTGCTACGTGGGTTATATTTTTTTTTAATAAACAAAACTATTTCATATTAGGGATAAGTACACTATGCATACGGTGCAATGATCAATGATCCCATGGTATAATTTGTTGTGTGTATCCATGTGTGACATTTTTATGGCCTAAGAGTTACGAATCAAATAATATTGAGCAATATTGAATTATATTCGCGTTCAAGTTTGAACGAATCCGAAACAAGATTTGATCGAATAGCTAATGAATAGCTTACTCGTTTACATGTAAGCGAGTTTTTTGTCATAGCTTTGCCAAACAGGTTTTTTGCCACAGCTTGCCTCACATGTGCTACTCTGGCTTTTTTTAACTGTTCGATTATATAATTGCCAATTGCCACGACTTGGTATGCTCGCTAACCTTGTAGGCTTGTACACAACATTTCTAGTCTTCGTTTATATACATGTGCAAAACACCAGAAAATAGTTTTCAATTAGTTTTGCCAAACGAAGCCTAAACACAGTGAAGAATCAAGAATATATAAAGATAAACACCGTAGTTTCATAAAATGAAAAGTACAAAACTTTTTTGTCAAATCCAATGTAGTTTCCCTCCAAGTCGGTGTTAACTTTTTGTTATCACAAACAAAAACACACCGACAGACACAAACACAATATATATCAATATAGTAATTGTAAAAGTAAACGAAGGGTATCAATATTAAACTCATACCATCCTCCTCATATATAAAACAAATATCGTTTTTGTACTCGGAATCAAATGAGCTACAGGGAATTGAGACACATGAAATGCAACATTTCAAAGTAAATACACAGGATCATTGCATGTGACTTCTTGTGTGACGATCTGCTGCTATGGATAATGATTGTATTGAAACCTGAAATGCGGGACCCATCTGCATCATAAAAGATTGAGATATTACACTCCTTGTGATTAAGAGAACTTGTGCAATATTCCTTTTACTCCGTATTTTATTTTATTTTATTTATTAAATAAAAGTGTAGTTTTTTCGGTTTTCTCCTGCCCACAGAAGGCTTCGGCCATTCGGGCCAAGCACGACTTCTCAACTGGTGTGACAGTGAGCCTACTCATGCAAATCCTGAGGCTCTTTACCTCTACACTACCCTAAGAGTAGAATGTAGAATGCTTTGGAAAATGTTATATATTTAGAAAAAACTTGAAGATATATCTCTGAAATGATATCACTGAAAAGGTGAAAGTATATATGCATGCCTGTAAAAAAACTGATCTAATATTGATCAAGTAGGGGATGAAAGATCAAAAGAGAAAGGGTCTTCCTTATCCCCAATAATCTATAAGCACACTACTAAGGCGGAGTGGTATATAACTTTTAGGAGTTAGGCCCTTAGCCAATAGAGCTAATTTAATTTTGTGCATAACTATATAAGCATCTGTCACTACATCAAATGAAGTGAAAATTTTTATCACTTACAGTGCTGCATATATGGAACGTATTCACATAACCCGCGTATTTTGAACCTGCATTGTCGGAAACAGAAGAAGCTTGAAATTGAAGAAAACTAAGTCATTTGGAGTATTGAAGTAGAAATAATTCGCGCCAATCTGTCCCCACATCACGGTGTTTGACACCCGTTCACACTTGTTCATTCAAGCATCAAGTTCAGACAAGAATGAGTGAATGACCTTGGTTACCATTGACTTATCTGTGTCGGTACCCACTCACTTGAACATTAACAACTTATTTGGTAAGTCAAAGAAAGTATTACATTCCTTGCTCATATCAATAACACGCCATTGTTTGTTTTGGTGTCACATTGTTTTCCTTTGAGAACTTCCTCAACTTCGGAGTATTGCCCATCCGAATTCCCATCCCTCCCCTAGCATTGTTTGTTTATTCCCGATTCTGAGGAGAAGGAAAAACGAGCCACGCAAAGACACGCATGCCTTTCTAACCAAACAATGGAAATGAATTCTTAATTGATCCTCATTCATTCTTCCCCCAAAGAGTACATGTTTCGATATTTATTAAATTTCTCATTCCAACAAGAGGTTGCGAAGGGATAATGTATACAAATAGCGCTTTATACTCCGTATCATACTCATATTGCACCACAGAAAGCACTTACTCTTTTTCAAGCCAGCAGGTTTCGCAAGCAAAAGGGCATTCACAAATGCACCAACATTTTCACAGAGAGCATCTTCTGGAAAACTCATCTGCAAAATAATTGATATTAGCAAGCAATCCATGAAAGATGATTTCTGTCTATATATCTATCAATTTATATATGTGTGTGTATAGAATAAGGATGTTTTTACTTGGTTTGTAATCTGTCCCAGCCCAGACCAGACCAGGCCAGACTTGGATAGTTAAAAAAATACAAAGAGACCAGACATTACCAGACCAAACCAGTTAAGACCAGCAAATTACAATCCAAGTAAAAACATCCTATAGATCAAATACAAACCCTCCTTAATATACAAACTACAAACTCATCTTGACCATCCAATGAGTTGATCTAAAGGCTATAAAGGCAAGTTGGCATTTTTGTAATAAAATCCATCTCTTTTAGGATGCAACTCTTTGAACGCTAATATGCAACTGCTAATTTATGACTGAATATATATATATATATATATATATATATATATATATATATATATATATATATATATCAATTTAACTGTATATATTTATATATATTGTGTAAACATATGTGTGTAGTACCTTCCCTAGGCCAACATGGACAATGGCTGTTTTGTCTTTTTTGAAAAGAACGCCTTGATCCCTTGCTTCTTTTACTGCATTGGAAACATCTTTTGTCACAGTACCTTTCTGCACAGTGCAGGAGGGAATGAGAAAGGCATCAAAACTAACATAACTGATCGGTAAAATATGAGAAAAAGAACTTACTTTAGTGTCTGGCATCAACTGCCTCAAATACTTTGCAATCTGACAAATAAAAAAACAAAAATTATGCCTTGTTTATTTCTTAACTCCAGTTTTTGTTTTTCAGTTTTCATTCTTTGTTTTCTGTTCTCTAATTTGGATAAAAGTTATACTCAAATTGTGACCGGAAATGATGGATATGGTCAATGTAGCTTTTATTAGTAATTGGTTGTAAATTTCGAAAAGAGAAGTCCAGTCTTCTCTTTTTTCTCCCAAAGTTTGTGTTCCTGTTGATATTTAACAGTGCGTCACAAATAAAAAATCCAATAACATACAATCAAATTAAGGTTTAGGTTTATAAAACCTGTCTCAAATTTGGCATCATTGAATGAGTGGACAAACACTTGTCAAAATCGATCTTCACACTGCCTATATGAATTAAAACAGAAAGTAGAAGTTGGTGAGAGATACAGATGGCTGCAACTGTTCCCCCAATCCTGGAACATACAAAAATAAAGCCATATGTTGTACAAACATAAGCCTTATAAACGCAAATAAAAATATGATATAAAAAAGCGATACCTCAAACACACTCTCAATAAGAATGATGGGTCTAAAGTTGCATAAATTACTCTGACTATCTGAGATACCATAATGAAACTGGATATTTTAAATTCCCATTTGGTAAGGCACTTTAATGTGTAGGCTGAACTGACTAATAATGAAAAATGGTGCAGAATTAACTTTCGGCTGAAATCATTGTTTTAAGTTGTGCAATGCCTTACCGCCTTGAGATTGTTTACCTACTTACGATGGGAGGTGTATCTTAATAAAAGCAATACAGGAACTTGCACAATTGTACTAGAAGCGTACGCCATAGGGGTATGCCATAGTGTGTTTTCTGAGGCACACCTTATCTGGAAGAAGCGTTCCTATGGACAATAAAGTTCTTCCGCGGGTGTAGAAAAGAAAATTGGGACGGCTTCTGAAATTATGCGCAAATATATTTTAAAGTTTGCGTGTATAAGTCTTCTACTACTCTACTTCTGATGCTAGACTGCGACTTTACTTCTTCTGGCGACGGCTGTGCCTGTGAAAGCAGTTCTGCATTTCAGCAGTTCTGTGCAAAGGCTAAAGGTGTTCTATTTATTTTGTTTCTTCACCACTTCAAGACAAGCAGATGCATTTTTATGTTATTTTAATGTTGTTTTCATATCATACGATGATACGAATGTGAGCAGCGGCATGGTTTTAATAATAACACAGGGAGTCCAGAATATTGAAGCAGGCAAGCAGCTGCATGATTTTAACTTTTTAAATTGTTTTTCATATATATGGACTGGACGAAAATAAATGTGATTATTTTGTTGGTATAAATTATGAAATTTGTTCGGTAAGATACATCTATGTCCATACTTTTTTGGTTTTATGACATCATTTTTATTGATTTAATTATGATATTTGTTGGCTTTCTGTGGTTATTTTTAATTCATTTTTTAGTACACTGTATTTTTTACTATTACTTTGTGTAAAAAATGAGGCTTATTCCTCATTGCGCAATGAAGCTTACGCAATAAGCAATGCTAAGAAGCAGCCTCAATTACACAATGCGCAATTTCAGTTTGGCTGAAAATGAATGAAACAAACGGAAAGGATCCTTCTTCTACATTCATTTTTTGATGTTAAATCTAAGGAAGAATTTGACTTTGCACCCCATGTTTTGGGCAATATTGGACTTTGCACCCCAATCTCAAAATCATTAATATTTGCACCCCATTTCAATATAAAATCATTTGACTTTGCACCCCCACTCCATAATTTTTGGGCTGATGGGGGTAAAAAATTTAATGATTTTGAAAATGGGGTGTAAAGACCAATATCGCCCAAAACGTGGGGTGCAAAGTCAAATTCTCCCTAAATCTAATTAGTTTACTAAAAACAAATTCATCAAATTCATCCACAACATTAACAAATCTATCAGATTTAAACATAGTCACTTCATTCATCTCGGATTTTACCAAACAGGCTCTCAGCTTATGTTTCAACTTTCAAATGAGTACCCACATTTGACATTTTACACCAACACATAAAGTAAGATTAACATACCATTTTTTATATTCTGGATAAGCTCCAAACCACCAACAACATCAGCTCCTGCTGCTCGGGCTTCATCTGCATCCGCTCCTTCAGCAAAGACAGCAACTCTGAATTTCTAAGGACGTGAATTGTTTTAGAAGTTGCACATATTTGAGAGAAAAACTGAGGCAGCAGAACAAAAAAAGTAAGGCTATGGGGGTTAGAGAATTGTACCTTTCCCCAACCATGAGGAAGTCGTGCAGCACCATCAAGTTTCTGTAATAAGAATTAAAACTTACTGAACATATAATTTTGTAAACCTTTCAGTCTTATACGGAGTATGTCCTAACAATATCAGTGACTTCAGCATAAATTTGAAAACCTAAATATTTGAACCCACCATTTATTTTCATATTATAGGGTAATACACCTAAGCAATTTACTATTATTGCTATTAGATAACACCTTATGTCAACGTATTAACAAAAAGAAAATTTGGTTTGAGGGAAAGAGGCAGAAAGCAAAACCAGGTCACTTCGACGCATCTCTGGAGTCAATTTAACATGTGCTTCCAAAGTCTCATCAAATGTCGTCCTTGCATTAGACTGTACAATTACAAGAAAGACAGATAAACATAAAGTAGTTTAGTCAGTTGCTATCTTTTAGAAGTGAACATCTCACTCAGCAAGAATTTACCTCTTTAGAATACCATGAAGGTATATGAAAAAGCATAGTGCAAAATACTCCCTCCGTCCCCCTAACAATGAGACAAGAGGGAGTGGCACGCAAATTAATAAAAAGTGGTTTATGTGGTTGATATTGAATTGATAAAGTAAGAGTAAAGTAAGAATAAAGTAAGAATGATTTAGAGCCACACAAACTTTACCAAATTTGGTATGGGACAATCTTAGTGGGACAGACCGAAAAGGTAAAATGAGACAATCATAGCGGGACGGAGGAAGTATATCAAGCGGACTTGCTCTCACTTCTCAATTGTTACTATGTCCAAAACAAAGTCTGAGATTGTTAAACGATTGAGAACTTCTAGGGGAAATAAACTACCAGACTTCAAAGCACTGAAATAGCCAAACTACATTATACACTAACTTTAACAGTATTACTATCTGAGTAGCTCGAGAATTGTAACAATGAACATACTCTCATGCTCTATTGCTCTGTCCATCTGTCCCAAAAAGAGAGATGTTTCAAAGACTTGTTTTGTGCAAAGAGTCTAATTTGATCACATGAAGCTTATTTTTTATGTAATTTGATATAAAATGCCCAAAAAAGTACTCAAGCCACATTTGAAAATTTAGTTAACCCAACAAAGAAACTGAAAAGATTATGTAACGATACATGATTAAAAACAGTTATACCTTAAAAAAACTAAAAAAGTTGTGCATTGATCAAACATGGCTCTTTTTTGGGACGGAGGTAGTATCATTAAAAAGGGGGGGAATTTGACTTTGCACTCCACTTTTTGGGTGATATTGGACTTTGCACCCCATTTTCAAAAAACTTTGACTTTACACTCCATTTCACTTAAAAGTCCTTTAAGTTTGCACCTGTCAGAATTTTTTCTTCACAAACTGTTTATGATGGGGTGCAAAGTCAAAGTTTTCTTAAAATGGGGAGCAAAGTCCAATATCACCCAAAAAGTGGCGTGCAAAGTCAAATTCCCCCTTAAAAAATAGAACTGGTGTAAAGGCAGGTCATATAGCTTGATATCCACTTCCCTACAGCCTTCAGTAGGTGTGTAGCAAGGCCTATTGAAGGATGTTTGGATTAAACAATTCTTTTTTGAAAGACTCACAGCCTAATTGCAGAATGAACCATAAATCTATATTGATGCAGGCAACTACTATGATCCACACAGTACCAATAATTTTCTAAAATACACATAAAACCTAAAAAGTTAAACATCTAGAGATCAGAGAGAAATTCCCTGTGAGTTGTGAATTTGAGATCAGAAAAGTCATTACAATTCTACTTGATCCGTTCACATCAGATTCTATTGGCTGATTAGGTTCTTTATTATAGAGGTTATATAGCATGTACCACGCTCTAGATACAAATAAAAGGAACCAACCATTAACATCTAAAGCAACCAACTTCTCTCCACCAATATCAAAGACAAGTTGAGCTTTAAACATAACGCCTACAATAAATGGGGCGTTTCTTGCCTTTTTCAATCACGCTCCCTTTCAAAAACTCCAACCACAAAGCTTACTACTTTTCTTTTCCCAGAGCACCATGGACAAACTAATTGCAGCTAAAAATGTACCTAAGAAAAACAAAGGAACGATGTCTCAGAAAGAGATCACTAAAAGACTGACCTTTACTAGGCGAATTGCCTCCTTGAGATCAAAAACAGTTTTCACTTTGGCCATTTCATTCTCCACCTTAATTAAGGTCGGAAAAGGAACCATTTGGGACTCCATCATATTAGTAGCCGCGAGCCGTTTCTCGAACTGGATTCTCCTGCTCTCTCTCTCCAGCTCCTCATCGCCTCTCTCCTTTCTCTCTTCCTGATGATGACCCTCGCCCTCTGTCATAACCCGGTCTTCAGGCAAAGGGGCCACGCGTGTAGGGTACGAACCGGAAGATATCGTCGGCACATTCTTCATGTACCGAAGATCCTCTCGTGTCCATGTCTGACCGTCCGGGTTAATCGGGCCCTCGGGAGCATTGGGGTCAGCCGGACTTTTTGTATTGTATGAAATGGGATGCGGAACAGTTTTAGAGGAGTCATTGGAAACGGTCTCATGAGGATCTTTAGGTTTGTAGGAAACTGGTTGTATTTGGATCGCTGGCTTTCTATCGTCTGGTTTTGGAAATGGATTGACGGTAGGAGGTGATTCAGTTGCAGAAGAGAGAAATCTTTGAAAATGAAGACGGATTACGGGAGCTATGGGAAATGGGGCGTTTCTAGAGCAGTGATGACGTCCTTGAGAGAGGAGAAGCTCGATTAACGCCATTGTCATGGGTAATTCGTTCTGGGGGGAAACAAAAGAACTCGGGTTTTAGGAGTTAGGGAGGGTGACCAGGGTTTTGCATCAATTGCCACTCGAGTGATGATAGAAAAGGGGAATTGGGACTTCATTTTTTTAGAGGGGCAAATTGATATGAGGATATTGAGAAAGGTACCATATAGACAAAAGGATCATTAGCTCTATGTCCATCTTCACAATGACGTTCAAAACGACCTCACATTACTCAATCATAATGCAAGAGTCTGACAGAAAGAGAATAAAATGTGAATAAATAAATTCTGATCAAAGTAAATAGAAATAGAAAGATAGCATAATTGAAATGTTGCTTCGTCCTCGGAAACACGAGAACCTTCCACGCCTCTAACCAATCATGGGTCTTCTTTCAAATTCCTGACGGGGCTGGTGTCCAAGTCCCATCTCTTCCCCGTTATTTGGCTTATCCAGAGTCATGCTATCACCACTTTGGTTTTCCTACTCCTCACATAGTCTCCTTCGCTTTTGGTCACCGGGCACCTCCTCGGTACTAACTGGTTCACCTTCCCTTGTTGTGCTCTTCCCCGGTTCAGTCGTAGTAACAATCCAGCTCTGTAGGGGTGGAAATAGGTCAGCCGGCCTGTCAGGGGCCTGTGGCCTGGCCTGTTAAAGGTCTGGCCTGGCCTGTTTAGTAATCAAGCTAGGTTTGGGCTTTTCAAAAAGCCCGTTTATCTAAATAGGTCAGGACTAGCCCAACTTTGAAGCTTTTTTACCTTAACAGGTCGGCCTATTTATAAGTGTATATATGTGTATGTATATATATTTATTATTTAGTTATATTTATATTTATTGGTATTTTTTATATTTATATTGGTATACTCAACTATAGCAAAATCGGTATAATAGTATGTTTAGGGAGTGTGTATTATAAACTAGAATAGAATACTATTTTAAATATACATATAGTGTGTTAATAGTTTATTAAGGTAATTGAAATTCAAAGTTTTTCGAGATTCAAAGTATATAAAATTTATAAACTACATAATAATATTCCATAATAATGTATTATTAGACATCCAAAGCAAAACTAACGTATTATTAGACTTTTTAGTGAATATTTGGGGTAATAAATTCTATATCGGATTAAAAAGATTTTTCACTTTTCATTTTTTATTTTTTTGAAATTTTGATTTTTTTGCTTAACAGGCCCGGAAAACACGCTTCAGGTCAGATCAGGCTTTTAAACAAGCCAGGCCCAGGCCGAAAAAACAGGCCTTTAATAGGTAACGGGTCAGGCTCAGGCCTATATATTATAAAAAAGGCCCGGCCTGTTTAGGCGAAAGCCTGGCCTGACCCGTTTCCACCCCTACAGCTCTGACTCCCTGCTTTTGTTCCTCCGCCTCTACCCTGAGTACATTATGTTGTTTCAACCCCATACCTGTAAATGAGGGTCCTTATGACACTAACTACTTGTTCCACCATTGTAGGACGAGGCTTCCCCCTCCTCTTCTCTAAGTTCCACCCTATATGATTTTTCCAAAGCTTTATTATCACCCTCATATGTCAACGGGCAAAAGCTATCAGCATGGAATTCATTTTTAAAAAACTTTGACTTCACATCTATTTCATTAAAAAAAAAGGATTTTGCTCTCTGTTCAGAAATATTTCTTCACAAAATGTTAAATGACGGGGTGCAAAGTCAATTTTTTTTTCAAAATGGGATGCACAATCCAATATCACCATAAAAGTGTGTTGCAAAATTAAATTTCCCCAAACCTAAAACAGAATAGACAAATCCCTAATCACAAAAAAAATGAACTAAAAAAAAAACGAACCATAATTTTTTGGTTTCGGTTTTGGTTTTCACCTCTAAAAAATAAACTAAACAAATCGAAAAATTTTGAAATATGTTATTTTATTTATTAATCATTAAGTGTAATATTTGGTTTAGTTCTTAATTATAGAAATTTACATGATCTGCAACATATTGACTTTTGATATTTATGATTTAACTAAACAAAACATATGTACATAAACTTTAGTCTATTGCTAATTACTAATATGTTGATATTTTAAATCCCAATTTATATTTTAGTTGTTGTTGAATGAAAGTGATATTTTGTAGTTATATTATTAGTTACTTGTGTTTGTTATCAACTTTTGTTACTGAAGAAATATGTATTAGTATAAACAACTAGTACAGTACCCGTGCATACGCACGGGAAAATAACCGATGGATATATTTATAATCATGATCTAATTAATTAGAAAAGAAAATTATTTCAAAAAACCGACATTCTCCTTAAAAGCAAATACATTATCTGAATATCATGTATTAAATATTATAAACTGTAACTTTAACATATATAGCACAAAAGGTGAAACTCTAGACCAAGTTGGGATATATATCGCGCTATACTACTGTTCATGAGCTCGATCATTAAGGCCCATTTTGGCCCAACAAGCCTTTTCTAACTCATGTGGTCCCTTTCGGCCCATTAGAGTTGTGTTGCACCCCTCCTCCCCCTTTTCCTACAAATAGGAGGTTTCCCTCCATGTTTTGGGATTCCTTTTCTCTCTCTAGCTATCCTTCTTCTTCTCCACGTCTCCTTTTCTCTCAATGGGCTTGGAGCTCATTTAATGGCTTCTAAGATTTAATACTTGTACTACAAATGGCGATGAATGTATTAATAAAATGAGAGTGACTTGGACATTACTCCAAAAAGTTCAGTGATTTTCACCCTTTTGGGTTTTCATGTTAAAACAGAGTTTCATACAATTTTATACATTTATTTACTATTTCGTGTTGGATTAATTTCAAAAAGTGGGATTATATGATTAATAATTAATATTTTCCAAAAAAAAGCAAAAAACTATAACAACATGTCATCAAACTATTGTACTCCTCTGTCTCACAAAAATACTAAATTTCCTTATTTAGTCATTCCAAAAAATATTATCATTTCCATTTAAAGTAATAAATACGTGGTTAAAGTTATTACTCTATCCTCTACACAAATTTCAACCACAAAGTGTTTTGCTTTATTCTATGTGCAAGTCAGAGTTGGTCAAATTTTATGGGACCAAAGAAATATAATAATCAGAATAAGTAAGGTTAGAGATAATTTTCTGATTGATTTGGCTAAAATGTTGACATTTAGCTATTTTCCATTTAACTTTGTCTTTATTTTATTAATAAAATAAATTTTACGTATTAGTTTTCAATATTCATCAGATTTGGCCAATTCACATGCTTCAGCCAGAATTTCACCAATTTCATCAAATTCAGCTTATTCAATTGATTCCAAAGTTATCAATTGACTTTAAAGTAATTAATTTAAACAGAATCAAGTACTCCGTATTTAAAAAAAAGGCAAAAATATTATCTCTACCATTGAAAGACAAGAATATGACTAATTTTCACTTTTCAAAAAATATGACCAATCTTTATTTAATTAATATACTTTTCTTGCAATTCCAATATCTATCCAACTACCCAGACATGCCCCCTACCTCCTTGCCCTTGCCTTCCCCGGTCGCCGCCACTAGTAAATATAAAAATGACTAATATAATATTTTATTTTAAAATTTTTAAATGCTACTTAATCTTATAAAAATAATAAACTATTTTGAAGTAAAAATATCATAAAAAAATAGCAAATGAATCAATAAAAAATCAAGATTTATGATATTTTAGATCTTTGATAGATTGTTTTCAATCATTCATATTTTATATTAGCACCCTTTATCTTTTAATTCTCTTATTGATAGTGAATCTATTTTTCATGTCGTTAATTGATAAAATTCAATTTAATTATTAAAACTTACTTATATGTCTCTCTTTTTCACAAACATCAATCATTCAGTTTTTATTTTTTTATATCACATGTTAGTCGATGACTAAGTCATATATAATCTTATTTGGATAAAGAGTTCTAATTGAATCTAAAATTCATATGCTATTTCAAAACTTCATTCTAATTATAGCAATGAGTTATTGCGGACGGGAAGGCATACTGCCTGGGGTTTAGTGGCGGCGATTCGTCCGCATACTTTGGTGCAAGTTTTTCTTTGAGCATCGTAGAAACGTTGTAGGGCTCCGGATGAAGGGATGTTCAGTCGACCACAACAGCGCACAAGAGGGTAGCGATGAAAGGCAACCAACAAGATGAGATGGAGGTTTTGGCTCAAGATTATGGAAGGACGGGGATTGATGGAGGAAGAAGATAAAGCCAGGAACAACCAGTGGGTCTATGACTAGTTGGACTTGAAGACAGAGGGTGGGGTGTTATTGGATCGCCCCACTCTTGAACCACCACCAGGGAAGGAACGAGCGTCTAGGGTTTGGATGCTCCTTTTAGTTTTTTTAAAAGAAAATCATGAATATTGATATCATTATAATCAAGATCGTTATCAATCTCAAAGTGGCCAAAATTGACTACAACCTTCACTTTTCAACTACTACTATTAGCCCTGCGATTAGACATAGAGACGATTACCCTGAAGAAGCAATATGAATCGCTAACCATCAGGCGGGCTTAATGCAACTATTGCTGCACAAATAGATATGTCCCCCTCTAACTATATCAAATCTAGCCAAAACCTCAGACATCGTAATAAACCTAGCACCATGAACTATAACCAAAAGCAAAACGATAGCAATGAAGTTCATAATTAACAACCAAAAATGGGTAAACGAAATTAAGCAAGTTAAACTGATGGAGCAGCTGGATCCATCCTTCAAACGTCGTGTTTCAATCTGTAGTCTCCCAGTTCCTCCATAGTAGCGGTTCAGGAGGGGGAGGATCTTCTGTAACGCCCCTCTTAGGGTTAAAGGGAACGTTACACTAATTTACTACTTTTAAAAATAACTGCAATATAATGGCCATCTATTTAAGAAAATAACCCTGATAAAATCTCAAATGTAACTAGAATATAGCTCCAAATAAAAACTCAACAAAATCTAGTTATCACCAGAAAATATGATAACCACCTGGATCCAGGAATTTAATCAAACTTAAATTCTCAAATAAAATAAAGTAATAACAATCTCTTAACTATAAGAACTGAAATACTGAAATATAATAATTGCTAGCTGGAAGCCGCCAAGGTCGTCCCCGTTAACTCATCTTGGCACGCGTTCCACTCTCTCATCACCTTCCTAGGCCTTAGCCTTACCTTTAGTATCTGTACATGCGAAGAAAGAAACTGATAAGCTTTACGCTTAGTAAGTCACTATGGATCCACAAAAATACCTAGAAGTCTATGCCAATTTATCAATAGATAAATTTAGGCTATAAGCATGCACTGAACAAATAACTAACACATAACTTCTCAAATACCTTCTGAGGGAGATCTCAAAGGAAAAATATTTTCTAAAATATTTTCTCAAAACTGCTAGAGATCTCAAAATTTATTTCTGAAAACATCTCTGGAACTTTCTGAAAGAGATCTCAAAAACAACTTTCTGTAAACTTACTGAAAGAGATCTCATAAACTTTCTGTAAAACTCTTTGTGGCTAATTTTAACTATGGGCCCGTGATATGTACTCAATGGCGCCAATCCGACAGCTCAGGGGAGCGACCCACTAAACATATCGGACTATCTAAAACTGCTAATCTGAGGGATCTAATTCCCGAGTACATATCACTTAATCTTTCACTTTAAGTATTAGTTTTTTTTTTATGGTGACATTTGACTAAAAAAACATCATTAAATCTGGAAACTAAAGTACTAACAAATCTTGACTATGCCAGATAATAAACATTACTTAATCTAGCAATAAAATAACTCATCACATAATTCACATAGTTCACATAATAGCAAATAGTCTAAAATTATCTATTAAAAATCAACCAGACTTCCTTCTTGCATTTGGTTGAACAAACATGTACAGGTGGTAGTGAACTTACTTGTTAGCAGCTGAACTCAAAATACTCAGATAAGTGTGGCACCTTGATAACGTCCTCCGGTAAGCTCTTCACTTAAATCTTTAATTAAAGATAAATAATATAATAAGAATTTATTTTGTTATAAATCCAACAGCGGTGACCAACAAGATTTACGCCCACCCCATTATAACTTGAGTCCAAATGTTCTAAGCTACTAACCGATCAACCTAGATATCAGAACTTTCTACTTGATTGACGATAAAAAAAAAGTGTCCTTGTAAATTTATTTATAACTAAACAGAGACTCATAAGGAGTGCTAATTTCTATATTACGAAATAGAGGCAGTTGCTCAACTAGGGTATTAACTTTATGTAATGTCTTAATAAAAATAGCGGTAGCTCAATCGATCAGATGACTCTTTACACTTTTCTCTTTTTATAAAAAAAAACAAAGAATCTTATCAATAGGCTAAATGAAAAGACCTGCTTCTACGGTTGCTAAAACTAGTTGAACCAAATGCCCTGTTTACAGAGCATGAAATAATTGATGAATATTGGTATTGAATCCACATGATAGAAACAAATTGGATATAATTGTTTTTAAAAAAAAGATCATTATAAAGACCAAATAAAAATCATTCCCTATATCACAACACCACGTAGTAGAAGAATAGGTTGTTTGAACTTTTCCAAACTAACGATTAATTTTGAATCAAATCGCAGCTTTACCCATTCACTAAAGCAACTCATAGAGAGGGGAAGAAATTCCAAGCAGTAATCCCACTTACTTGATTCAGAGATTTTGATACGAGTTTTTGGCTAAAGCTTTGGTAGAAAACCAGAAAATTTGGAGTAGAAGAAATTTCATAGCGATGGAGGAAAAGTCGTAGACCATGGGATGGAGCGCAACTAAAGGCTTTGCTGATCTATATTGACGTATAAATCTCTAGGGATTTTAGTCTCATATAATTTCTTATTCGGGCCAAGATAACTGATTTGGGTCTCTAAGTCTTCTAAAAATATGCTTCTGGCCCAACTGAGTTTTATATCTCCTTTTTCATTAACATACTGATAAAATATAATTTACTTCTGCATTAAAATTTATTAGAGCTTATCGGTCAACGTTATCTGCCACAAACAAACATGATAACAGAATAGATCACATTATTCACAAAATAAATTTATTTAACTAACTGAGTAAGTTATTTAACTTATCTAAACATAATATAACTCATATAACTAGCTCACAAGAGTGGGGTGTTACATCTTCATCACTATCATATTCTTCCTTCATCACCTTGATGTGTCCATCAATCGCCTTCATCTCTTGGCAAAAATATTGCACGAACACAACCAGTCCGAAAGCGAGCAGCCTCCACATCCCTATCATCCAAATAGCCTGCCTCCTCACCACGTTCGTCCACAACAATCTTCTCCGTCCGAAGCAAAATGGAGTAGCGCTAACCCAGTTCGCTATACGAAAGAGCCCTTCCCTACACCTGCTCTACTACAAAGTAGAGCCGCCAGACAAATCTATTTCGATGCCAAACCATTCAAAAATAGGGTAAACCCTAGCCTCCCGTTCGTCTGCATCGTCCGCCTTCACCGTCCTGCTCGAGAAAACTGGTTCGTCGGCGAGCGACCAGCCTGCGTGCTGACAAGAGGAGATCGTCGCCCAAAAATTACCTCGCAACTTTAGAGAAACCCAGGTGCGAGTATATAATAGTAAACATACTGGATGCTTCTTTTAGTATTTTTGCTTGTCTCATTTGTTATTTTTTCATTCAGCACTTACGATATAATTTCTTGTTTGTGGTTTTAGTTATTAGATTGGGAGAAAGTGTTGGAAAATGTGTGAAGATTGCTTAAAATGGTAATTTTGGGGCAATTTTTTGAGCGGGGTCCACTTCCGATTTGGGTCGGGTCAAAGTGGTTTCGGATTGTCCTTGCTTAGGGCTACAATTCTATATATGGTACTCTCAAAACGGATAACGGGCGAATGAAAAATTGATTCTCGAAGTTTACCCGTTAGAATGGAAAAACTGGGAAAAAGGACGAGTTTCTAGTATGTTATTTCCCACACCGGAAAACCCAAGGGATTTGCAACCCTTTATAAAGGGACTCTCCCCTTAAGGAGTTAAGATTCCTAAGGGTAAAGGCTCTCTCCACGCGGGGGGGGGGGGGGGGGGGGGGGTGGTGCAAATCAAATCCCGAAATCGTTGCGCCTTGCGTGCGCAGACGACCTGCGGACACGAATGTCGTCCAAAAATCTATCTCTCAAGAGATACGGTTAATTTTGTTTTCTTCCCAAAACGTTTATTTTTTTCCCAGAAATGCTGCCTGGACAGAACACGTCTTCCGCGCAACAGAACTACTCGACACGGGACAGAAGGCCTAGGGATCCTCTGTTGCGATGCTCGGACAGAACGCCTCGGGGTGTTCTGTTCTGTCCGTTACAGCAATAAATGTCCAACGTTCTTATCTTTTAATGCAGCGTTAAATGGACAGTTCATGGACGATTCAATGTCCAACGGGCTGGTCATTGATGTCCAACGTTCAGGTCCATTTTTTTTTTAGCCCGGAAAGCCAACCACCAAAATCAGTGGGGTAAATGCCGGGCAGCATTTACCATATTTTTATTAATGATAAGTAACGTTCAGGTCCATTAATTCACCATTTGCACACAACAAATCCTCCTATATAATGACTGGCAGGTGGTTTGCAACTATACACGATCTTATATGTTCTTACACACTAGCTCACGTATTTCTTCTGCTAAAAAACACATCCAGCTACCTCTGAAAATTCCTAAGTGTTCAGACTTGTTCTCGTACGCCGGGACAATTCGTTTGAGTGCTCAAACGATTGTTCGTAGTCATCGTATCTTGGGAAACGATTGTTGCAACGCTCCTAGCACCGTGGGAGGCAGCAAATACGTTTTAAGAACATCGTGCGTAGCACGAGCTTTGACTAATTCTGCTTCATCTCCTTTCTTGTTTTTCTCTAGTCATTTTATTTAATTAATTTATTTTAATTAATTTTCTTTATTTTCCGAAACACACCCAACAGAAAGCAATTGGGCTACTTTGGTCAATAATAGCTTAGAATCACCCGTATGTTCAGCGATTAGTCTTACTCATTATTGGGCAGTCTATTTTATATCTGATCAGAGTCAAAGGGTCTATTGGCTATAAGGAGTTTAGAGACAAGGTTCTGAGTAGTTAGAAGCTGAATTTTTAAATTGGACGGTTGGATGTTTGCTTGTTTGTTTTTATGAGTTAAAATAAGCGTTTTCCAACAAAAAAAAATATATAGCATTGAGTTCAACCATTTAAATTACCATAAACTTGTGCAACTTTTAGCCTACTGTGATTCAAATTATATCTCATCCATGTTAAAACAATTTTTATAGTAATTTTACATTCTTATATCATCAATTCAGCCGTGTAGCCAATCGAATCTACTCCATTCCGTTAGCATTCTCAATTTATCAATTCATTTCAGTTTTACTAACTTTTACGCAGGCATTAATATACAATAGACTTAAGAGTCTCTGATTCATTCATCCACTAACAACAACATTCAAGCTTTAGTCACAAAAGATTTTGGGGTCGACTAACATGAATTGATACATAATATCGAAGCCAAACGAGAAAGAAAGATAAGAAAGAAAAAATATAAAAAGATACTTTTGCGAGCTTTTTAGTAACTATTAGCTTTTATTGGTTGAAAAGATCTTAAAAACAAAAGGTGATAGTTGTTTGATAAAAAGCTGACTGTTTGATTTAGTTCGGTTTGGTATACAAGCTGTTAGGACTAATTAATACTAAAAGTCACGAGCTTTTCTCAAGATGCTACATCCGATAACATCTCAAAAAAGATCTTTTAATTTTTGAAAAACTCTTAAAAATGTCATGTCAAACATACAAGTAGAGTCTTTTAAGGTCTTTTTATAGAATAGAGAAGCTAGAAGCTAGAGCCTTTTATGTGCCAAACATAGCCAATGTATGATAATAAAAAGTATAACATAAAAGTGATAAGATAAAAATGATAAAAGAAATATACACACATAATAATAAAAAAATACGTAGTATAAAAAGATTAAAATAACATAACTAAGAAAAAGAAGATACAAAAGAAGAAGACGATAAGAGATAAAACAGCCACATGAACACTACACCTTCCACTTTGCTCTCTCCAAAGTCATATCCTCATTCAGCTCAAGACGAAATATATCACACTTGACCCCTCTAAACATAGCCAAAATATGGAACAACACTAAACACAATCCAAAGGCATACTCAGATCAGTCATTCTAAGCGCAAGAAGGCGTATGCCAAGGACAAACTTTCCGACAAAGCAATGAAGGTTTCCATTTTGCATATTGAAAGGAAGCGTAGAGAAGCGTGACCAATGGGCCTTCTACTGCTCTGAAATGAAACTGATATGATGAAATAGACACCGCTTCGGATCCTGCTCCGGCCATTTGGTAGTCGATCAGCCCATGGTTAGCCGCCAAGTTAGCCGCACACAGAATGAGGTGTGAAATGCATGAATTGCACCTCAACGGTTGGTATTGTTGAGTTTTAGTATCTCAACTCTTAAATGAATCAAACCAGTACCATAACTATACCTAAATGTTTCAACTTGTAATTTTATTCAAATTTGTGGCCAAATAATCCTACATGGTGATCAAAATTCCATGTGTAGTCACCCTACAATGATGACATGGACAAAAGAAAGGTGAAGTGGATTTTAAACACGGAATTCCGGCCGCCAGTATGATTTTTTGGTCAAAAATTTGAGTAAAATTGCAAGTTGAACGTTTATGTATAGTTATAGTACTGATTTTATTCATTAAAGAGTTGAGGTACAGAACGCAACAATATCAATAGTTAAGGTACCATTTATACATTTCACCCTAGAATGAGAGATTGTTTTCAACTTTTCATGGTGATTGTAAGCAAGCATTTATTTATTATTGAAGTATGTTTTAGTCTCTTTACAAACCAACCAGTCCTTCGGACATCAGCATTAAAGTAGCCAACACGATGGCATGTGAAGAGGGGAAATGAAGCCGTACATAATTACATGGCAGGAAACGGGTGTAAAAAGATATACAATTATGGCTCCCACTAGAAAGGTATGAAGAAAAACTGTATTATATTGCAGCACCAAAAACTGTAGTTTATTGACTTCTGTTCACCTTGGAATCCATTGGAATGGTGACTCGAGTACAAGCAATAGCAAGTACACATCACACTACTGCTGAGTTTCTGGAATAGGTGGCAATGCCATTAGCTCCTGTTAGAAAATGACAACGCGATTAGCATATAGTTGTTCAGATAACTATTACAAATCATAATCAAACCTCACAATTTGTTCATTTGGATGAACAAAGTGCTATATTAACACACAGGCTACTCCTCCTATCAGGTTGACCTTTTAGGATGGAACCTCGTGTCTTAACATGGTATCAGAGCCAAATCGATCCATGGTGTGGGGCCCCTTATGAATCGTGATGACACGATTATTAAAAAAATGACAATTACGGACGGATGAAAAAAAACGGACCGATGAAAAAAAATGAATGATTGCACGATCCAGACGAAGTGTCTGATCGTGAAAAGGGGTGTTAAATGTCTCACACCGGAAACATTTGGATGAACAAAGTGCTATATTAACACACAGGCTACTCCTCCTATCAGGTTGACCTTTTAGGGGTGTTAAATATCCCACACTGGAAACATTTGGATGAACAAAGTGCTATATTATCACATGAGCTACTCCTCCTATCAGGTTGACCTTTTAGGATGGAACCTCGTGACTTAACATGGTATCAGAGCCAAATCGATCCATGGTGTGGGACCCCTTATGAAAAATGACGACACGATAAAAAAAATTGACGAACCAATGAAAAATGAATGACGACACGATCCAGACGAAGTGTCTGGTCGTGAGGAGGGGTGTTAAATGTCTCACACCGGAAAATTGAGAAGCACTAGAGTGCTATATTAAGCTTCGGGCTACTCCTCCTAACAGGTTGACCTTTTAGGATGGAACCTCGGGTCTTAACATGGTATCAGAGTCAAATCGATCCATGGTGTGGGGCCCCTTATGAAAAATGACGACACAATAAAAAAAATTGACGAAACGATGAACAAATGAATGACGACACGATCCAGACGAAGTGTCTGGTCGTGAGGAGGGGTGTTAAATGTCCCACACCGGAAAATTGAGAAACACTAGAGTGCTATATTAAGCTTCGGGCTACTCCTCCTAACAGGTTGACCTTTTAGGATGGAACCCCGGGTCTTAACAGAGTACCAAGATAGCCTAGATAGAAGTGTTGGTGCACATGTTAAGCTTCAAGTGTTTTCATACCTTTTAAAACATGGATGTTCTGTCCTAAAATATTAACCTGGTAGAAAAAGTAACTAAAGTCTTATAAGTTAATTTGTGTGTTTATATATGTTTATATCTTATCAATGTCAATGTGAGGTGCCTTAACATACAATATGTTACTAGTACTATCTTCGGGAAATTAATTGGCAAAACTAGCCAACCTAGGGTTCTTTTAAAAGGGGGGCACATGGAAGCAACACGCTAAGAACTAGCTAGGACTTCTTTTTTTGCATTAGTATACATTGTTGACTAATTTTAGACCACTAGTAACGGTGTAGGAGTGAGAGGTCACGGGTTTAAGCCCTGGGAGCGGCCTCTTGTCAAAATGACAACGTAAGGCTAGCCCTTCATACATCCTTGTAGTTGGAGTGTTGGACGCTTCCCTAGACCCTCACCTTGCGGGATCGCCGATGTACACTGGGCTGCCATTTCTAATAATTGATACACATATAACTGGAATTATGGGGATTGGGATGAATTGATGATGGGAACAACTCCCAACAAAAGTGTTTACCAGAGAGTATCGCAAATGCTGGTGGTGCCCCTTTGTTGTTTTAACCATTGTTTCCCATTTTGAATCCCCTGAAGTGACCTTGGGTGCCACATTCCGAGGATTCCCATTTCCGATAAGATAGGTCCGCTGTAGTGATGAACGCTTTGTGGAGAGTGAAGGCAAAGTGCGACAAAGCCATGACTCTGATGGAGACATGGGTAAAGGTGGGGGTACTGGGAACTCTACTGACTTCTTCAATCTCTCTGTTCCCTCAATGTAACTTTCATCCGCTCGACTGTTAGGCATCACTGATGTGTTTGTGAAGAATTGGTCTTTTCCATAAGCCTTACTTGGTCTTCTTCTAGATTCCGAGTTCAATTTTTCAGCTGAAAGTAGCGGTTTGAGATCAGCAGTTTCGTGGACAATGTGCTTTATATTAGTTACTTCATCTGTGCTAGCTTCTTCTATGAAAGGAAAAGCTTCCATTTTATTCTGTTTTCCCTTCGGCTTCATAACTTCATGGTCCTCTTTAATAAACTGTGGTCCCCTTGTCTCTTGCAGAGTATCTACTACATAAAGAGTTTTCTCTACAATTGCACAACTGTCGGAATCTTCTGGTGCAACACTATTACTCTTATCCGTCAAGGACTCCACAGATTTTTTGCATTTTCGTTTATCCAACCCAATGAAATGACGTCCACCTAGATTTTTATCATTAATGTTTTGGGTAGTTCTCTTTTTGAATTCATCATCTGATTTATTATTATCTTCATGGGATTCTGCTGTTAGAAGTCCAATGACTGGCTGGCGCTCACTAACATCAGATGCTGATCGCTGTAACATTGAAAACAACATACATCATCTCAATCGGAGTGAAAAACTTAAAAGATTATGTTAAGGCCTTGTACAGCTGGGAGGTTTTTGGAGCGGTGAATTTATTTTGTTCATATATGTTTACATTCAGGTAGCTGGAAAAAAAGTGAAAATTATATAGATATATGCATGATATTGTTGTTATGTAGTCTAAGACTAACAAATACGGAGTACAAAGTAGGAAAATGTGCAAAATAATAATTCTTCCCTTCAAAAATCCCCAGCCAAGCAAGCCCTTAAATTAGTCCGCACCACGAAGAAAGGTAAAGGCAGATAAATAAAGAAGAAAGATAAGGTTGATACCTCATTCTCTGTTCCGCTACAAGATCCAGCAGATGAGGATTCAATCTGCATTCTACTGCTGCTAGGAGACATAGGGACTTGAGTCCTTGCACTCATACCAGGTAGCGGATTCATTAGAAAAAACGAACCTTTCAAACAAAAACGGGGTATTAAACCACACACTTTAGGAGGAAAAGATCCATCATTATCATCACCATCCTCATCATCATTGTCATTTATTACTTCTGCGTAATCATGAGATTGGTAATAGTGGCGTGCAAAACTGGGCCCATAACGCAGTTGAGGTCGCTGCTTGTCTGCATTTACTGTGTTGACGGGATGATTTCTTGGTTGTTCCAGAACGATGGATTGCTTCCTGGGAGCATGCGAAGGCATTTCTGTAGCCATTGAAATTGCTGCAGGCAGAAACCGATCAATCATGAAATCTCGAGTTTGAAGATCTGCCGTGAAGGTCCCATTTGGTTCATTCAATCCACTAAAGCCACTAGCACTACTATGATTCAGTAAAGCTGATTCAGGTTTGCTTGAAATCGTGTCAAGGGCATCTACGTAAGTTTCATCTTCATCAGATGATGATTCCACTCTCTTTTCTTCTTTTTCTTCTTCATCTTCAATGCTACCATTTGAACTGCTAAAACTAATTGGTTTGACCATCTTTTTTCTCAATGACTCGTGTTGGGAAACGTTTTCCATTTCAGAACCTTTACTATTAAGGCGTTGTTGCTGGTCTGCTTTTGAAGTTCTGCCTGGGGGGAGTTTTGGAATAATGGGAGGAGACGCCTTATCAGCAGAGGCAGCAGATGTATGATGAGTTTCGTGCTTTGGTCTTCCAGGGCTGTGCTCCCAGCAGAAGGGCACAACTCCTGGATCCCTCAAAGGTCCCGAGTTTAGTTTCGATTTATATGGAGGGGGAGGGCGAGGGGGAGTGGAAGTGTCAGTTGGCCTATCGGTTCGTCTTACAGAGAGAAAAGGCTGGTTTAGGTTTAGCCTCTTGTCTTCCATTACAGTGTTCATCAGTTTATGTTATTCCTGTACACAACAAAATCATCAAATAAAAATACACATTGTTCTCTATTCTAAACTTCCCTAAACAGTCCATCTAGACATTCCAAACCCCCTTGACCGTCCGTTATATTCTTTTATACTCCGTAATTGATTTCATCTTGACCCTCTTCCCCAAACCCCGCCTTGGCGCTTGGCTCCACTACCTTTATAGGAAATAGCACTTTTTAGAAACCTGACATTGTTAGAGCTTGTAAGCTCCACCTCCGTTTAGGGGGTGGACATGGTCCTGGAGACCAAACCAAAAGACCGAGCCATGTTAACTGTTCTGATTCCTCGAAAGTAAGACGGATGAGACCAGACCTTTTGTTTTAAAAATAGGCTAACGTACTGATCTAGAACCAGATGGAAGTATGGAAACCGATGATCGTTACATTATCAACCTTACCATAACATTGAACTAGACTTCCAAAATTAATTAACAAACATGGTCTTCTTTCAAATGTAGAGAGTATAGTTTTTAACCAATGTTCTACAAGGCGTCGTAAGGCGGCAGGAAAATGACCATATAGTAAATAGGTGTGGAAAAGGCGGTCGACTCTCAAGAGTTAACTATAAAAGTTGTGAAAAAGTGTAGCTACAAAAGGCGGAGCCTATGCGTGAAAAGTTGAGTTAACATGTACATTTTACCCGTATGCGTGAAAAGATTAGAGTTATTTAGATAGATAATGTGTTGCAAAAGAAAAAAAATGGATATATTATATTCTAGAAAATCACTTCTCCTAAATAAGTTACTTATGTAATCTTACAATAAAAAGTAACAATACATGAGAGTACTATTTTTTATTTGTAACCTTTCAATTTAAAAGTTGTATAGTCATTGAAGAAATTGAAATTTTCGTTTATATTTTTTGGCGAAATTGACACCAATAATCCCTACTTTTACACATTTTACAAAAATAATCGCTACTTGAAAAGTTCAAACCAATAATCCCAACTAGTTAACTGTTTTACAAAAGTAAACCGAGTGCTAATTGTGTTAGGTTTTCCATTAAATTTTTTTAATATATTGAAGTGAAAGTATATATAAACATTAGCAATATTATATTTGAGTTTATTCTTGTTTCTACTAAAAATATAATTTTATATTCAATATTTTTCATGAAACATAATAAAAATATTTGAACACTAAATAGTACATACATTTCAAATTCTCTACTCTTTTATTCCTTATCCATATTTTATTTATATTCATTTTTGTTATTCATTATAATAGAGATTTCAAAGTAATTTTATTAATACTACGTTAAATATTACGTAGTAATACAAATTATGTAGAATATTGAATACGGATATTTCTATTATATTTTATGAAAAATATTAACTTAAATTAATCATAGAAAAAGATTAAACTCAAATATAATATTATTAATTTTTATACACACTTTTGCTTTAATATATTCAAAAAAAATAAAAAACCAGCGGAAAAGTTAACACGCTTAACATTCAGATTATTTTTTTGAAACAGTTAAGTAGTAGGGATTATTGTTGTGAACTTTTCAAGTAGGGATTATTTTTCTAAAATGTGTATAAGTATGGATTATTGATGTCAATTTGGCCATATTTTTTTAATGTTTTATATATATATCCATATAAAAATAATTATTAGTAAGAGTTTAAAACGTGATTTCTTTCACGCTTAAACTTCATCGTGTGGTTTGGCCTTGAGGACTTTATTATATATCAATATTCACATGTCAAGTGATCAAGTCTACCCCTCAATTGAACACATAATAATACTAATGATAATAATAGTCATGGGCGGAGCTAGGGGAGGGCCATACCTGGCCCAGCCCAAATTTTAAAATGCTTGTATTTTTGGTCTAAAAAATTTTGTGAAAGAAAAAATTTCAAAAATATTCTTTATACCGGCCCAGTACGGCCCAGTGCCCTAGCTCCGCCCCTGATAATAATAATAACAACAATAATAATAATAATCAAAAAAATAAAAGTACTGATAACACTTAATCGTAACAGCTGTAGCACGGGGACAGAATGAATGAATGATTAGGTACTAATTAATTTATGCGGCCAATACTAATTACTGTACGTAAAAAGGGAATAAGATCTAATGATCTATTTCTCTCTCTAACTGTTTCATTATCTATTGACAAATACGGAGTATGTAAATGAAATAAATTCAAAGAAAAGTCAACAATTGAAAATATATTAGCGGCTTCACCGCCAAATTCACTTCGTCGGTGCCACTCGGCGGTAGCAATTAGCTGTTTGAAAAGGAAATTGACTTGTTCATGATTGCCTTTCTTTTGTTCTCCAAAAAGCGTTGAAAAAGCCCTCTATTCTATATCCTTCCTCCCCTGTCAATGGAAGTCAGAGACGAGCGCAGAGAAAATCCTTAGCGCGTATATCTAACACTCTCACTACCCTACTGTAAGGAGCCGGAAAAATAAGAAGCGCTGTGGATCGCCGGACGGCGGCAATTTCGGCCGTCGGCAGATAAGTCGACTGCCATTCCCACCGCGCATGTATACCGAAGACAGAAAGGAAGATGTGAAAATAGGAAATTTCATATAATTCAGCTTGACACGAGTTTAATAAAAATAACTTCCAATACTCGAAAGCAAGACGAAAATGATGGAGAAGTTAGAAATTACCTTGGATTTATGGGCGATTGTGCGATGAAGGGGAAAAACTGATTCTTTGTTGAGCTGATGAAGGCATCTGCCAAAGATGTCGACTCTGTGAAGCATTTGTATAGATTAGCTGTAAAACACTAGAAAGAAAGGCTGCTTTAAAGACGGCAAAATAGAGGGGGGTGATGAGGCGCGTCTGTACCCGCGTCTCGCTTTCTATACCATCATCATCTAATCATAGTTTAATTCGGAGTACTCGTAGTACGTGTATGTGTATGGGATTACGTACGTTGTACCCACTATTAGTATTGTATCCACTTTTATATCCACCATGTCTGTATAAATATATTTTTGTCTATGACCGGGATTCACAGACAAAAAAAACTCTTCACAGGCATGATGGGTACAAATAATTTTTTTGATTTTATATTGCATAGTATAAAAAATGGTGTACAACAAATATCCATCACCATTCACGAACAATGGATGTGTTGGCATTTGGAAGCCGTTTATGAGCACAAACATTAGTTTGCATGAGGAAAAGATACTTGATACGAATTGGTGTGCAAACCAATCTCTATGTGTAAAGTGGTTGTGTGCACAGACAATTATTATATTTTATGTGATCAAAATGTGAATTCGTCAAATAGATTTTACCATACATGCAATAGTTGTGAGACTCGGAGAAACTACTTCAGGAAAGGCAAGGAAGCTCGGAGAAACTACTCCGGAGAGACCGGAAGTAAACCTCTTATAGACAACGAACCTTTTTCGGGGATGGGGAGAAAGATTCGGGGAAGTTTAACAGGAAGATGAGTACAAGCCAAGCTAGCCTCACCGACACGACAAGTCAACATTGACTTTGGGATAAGGGTGAACGAAGAAACTTCAGAAGTAGTCTGAGACCGCAGGCAACTTATAAGAAAACAATCAGGACGATGGCTCCAAAGTCAAATACGCTCTCTCTTGGACACGATCAAGACAATTGCGGCGAACCATTCAATTTTAAAATTATTATTGAAAGCAAAACATTTTCATACAAAAAAATGGTAATTTTATTCGCATTTCAGAATTAAAGAATGATAGTTTATCTGCAACTGAACTTGATCTTGTCAGGATTACTTGGTCAAAAACTCCATTTTGAGGTTACTATTTGACAATTGGTCGAAAGAATTTAATTCTTATTCTTCATGATGCTAATTTCTTTGGTGGCTTCTTTTGCATCATCAAGAAAGGTTGTGATTCTTTATTTATCCCGAAAGGTTGGACTGAAATGGGAATTAAATACTTCCCGTAAGGAATTAATAGATCAACTAATTTGATGAAGGAACTTGAGGGCAAGAGGGCAACATTTGAAGAGTTTTCATATTGGGATTGTTTGAAGAATTCATCTAGCCACAAGAGGACTCTTTCATTCCTCATATATATGGAGATTACTCCAACCAGAGTTATCTCTCTATTTCGAGAGCGCTGCTTCAAGTTGGTGTTGACCATTTTGTCTCTTTTCATAAACCTCAGGTATTGAATGTTGTAGAAGACTCCGGTAGCTCTTTGCGATTATCGGACTTAGCTCTATCATTAATGATACATTTCAGACCACCATGACTAATGGGGTAGAATCACTCTCCTTGTTTCTTATTAAAAAATGAAAGAATTGTTACTTCTTGTTGGGAAAATTGGAACTCTTTAGATAAGAGAGAGGATGATAAAGATATTCCTCATATAAACTCTTCGATAGATGCCGCTACAGGTAATCAATGCTCTATGGTGATGAATTGTGACGATGTTTTTGCCCGGAAAATATTGTCATACACAGGAGATGAATTTCTAAGTCGTGTTTCAGAGAACGAAAAGAGAATACTCATTTCAAGATTCGAGGATCCATGAGACTCGAACACAAATCAAGACATATGCAGCAAAGCTCGCTTGGTCACGCTAGAAAATTGCTTACCTACACAAAACCTTAACACTCAAATGAAAATCTACAGGAAAATGCACCAACGATCGCATCACAAGAGAACGAGATCCCATACACGTGGATTTCTAATGATTTCATGGAAATCAAAGCTTTTCTAAGATAGGGTTTTAAGTGTACTTCGGATTGAGTTGTTTTTGTTTTTTCTTCCCCATTGCACCTTTTACTATTGTAATTTATTTTCTCTTTGATCAATAAAATTTTCATTTTCTGTAAAAAATGGTGTGCACAACTTGTGTACAAATGCAATTTTCCTTATATTATAGCACATATATTCAACTTGTGTACAAATTCAATTTTCCTTATATTATAGCCCATAAAAGAGAATTTTCAGGTTCAAACCGTTTCTTTTATTTGGGCCGTCAAAAAATAAGAAAAAATGTCATGGTCGCATTTTTAGGGATGGTCTAGGGTCGGTTTTCGGTTCAGTTTCCCACCACTATTCTCATCCTCCTACAAAACTCTATGTTTAATCATCAATACTTAATATGCAGTACCAATCAATCCGTTCGTGCTTCGGATAAAAATTAAATCAAATTGATATTGAGCTTGTTGATTATTCTCTTCAAGATGGTGGAGCGAGCAGCTGCGTCGCTGGCGGGGTTGGGACGGAGGACCTCGTACTTGGTGCGGTGAGCTGCAACGGATGGCGCACAGTAGTTTCGGCTCCAACCAGTAACAGGTTGTGAGTGGGCGGCAAACGTTTGTTATAGCTCGTGGCTTCTGCTATAGCGTGCGGCGGTGAGACATCTCTGGCGGTTCTTGAAATCTCAGATTTTGATTTTTACGGACCATGTATTTCTGTTTTTTTTTGTAAATGGGATAAATTTCTTGAATTTTTGGGAGGTTTATCACTTAAAAAAGAATCAATTACATGTTTATGTCTGAAATAATAAATATGTAAAAAAAAATTAAGTGATGTGACTAAGCGCTAGGCTTCTCGCTCCCTAGGAGCTTTGTGTGCGCCGCAACCAAAAAACTTGATGCCGATTGGAGGGCGGCAACTAGTGCTCACTCAAGGCTGAAGGTGCGGGAGGCTTTAGAAGTTTGTCCGGTAGATATATAGCAATTAGTTCGTCACCTACTAGATGTGATGCGCATTGAAAAGAATGTGTGCGAGAGCATCTATGGATCCCAAGCTCGAAATGACCTTATTCATTTGAACATAAAGAAAAACTTAATTCCTGAAGAAAATTCAAAATCTTTACCTTCGGCACCCTACACCTTGACCAAGAAAGACAAACAGAAATTCTGTGAAACCATTTTGGAAATAAAGGTACCGGATGGTTATTCTTCTAACCTAAAAAGCATTGATTCTGATGATGACAATCACCTTCAAGGTCTCAAGTCTCATGACTGTCACACCTTGATGCAACAGATGCTTCCCTTGGCCATTCATAACATGTCAGTGGCTAAAAGTTTAACAGATGTTATAACTAGTATGTGTTTGTTCTTTAATAAATTGTGTGAGAAAGTGTTGGATAGTGATTCACTCGATGAACTAGAGTATAATCACCGCATCACCATGTGTTGTCTTGAGCAATACTTTCTGCCTTCCTTTTTCAATCAAGGTTCATTTAACGGTCCATCTCGTGGCTCAAGTGTGGTTATATGGCCCGGTTTACCTCTTTGTTGGATGTAACCTTTTAAGAGAAGCATGAAGTTCTTAAAAGGGTTTGTCCGCAATCATTATCATCCTGGGGGATGCATGGCAGAATGTTATGCAGCTGAAGAAGCACTCGAGTTTTGCGTTGAATATCTTGCAAATCACCAGTCCATTGGATTACCTATGGATTGTGACAATATCGACCCAGTTGAAAAGCCCCTAGGACGTGGGGACACTAAAAGAGTGGATTGTTCCATTCTCGAGCAAGCACATTGAACCGTTCTATTTAATACATCAGAAGTTTTGCCGTACATACAGTAAGAATTCGTTCGATTTTTCAAAAAACCAAATATCTTATTGTTTGTTCATAAATGAAAAAAGGCAGCACATGTTGGAGCTGCAATCAAACTTTGATGGTTGTTGTGAAACAGAGCATTATCGAGTCTTTGTCCCATGGTTTGAGAAGAAGGAAAAATGCTCTTTAATTTAATGTTACTAAAAATACATATTTAACACAAATATATTGAATATTAAGTTTTTAATGTGTAGGTCCGTAATGATATTGCAAATGGTGTGTGTGTGTTGAGAAAACAGTCCGGTGGCTAGCAAAAAACAAACATAATCGTGACAACATATTCACGATACATTGTAAATGGATATATCTTTTCAACAAAGGATCAGAATTTGAATCGAGTTACACAAAATAACAGGGTTACTCTTATAGCAGACACGAATGGAGTTTCCGACATAAATTACTATGGTGTCCTTGTTGAAATCTGGGTCCTTCACTACCTCGTGACTAAGAGGGTCATTTTCAAGTGTGATTGGGTACATAGTAGGCATGTGAAAAAAGATAAGTTGGGGTTCACATTAGTTGATCTAAATAAGATTGGTCACAAAATAGATAGTTTCATTTTAGCCTCTCATGCAAAGCAAGTTTTTTATGTGAAAGAACAACTTGATCCAATAAAATCTATAGTTTGTTCAGTTGGTCAAAGGGTCCATAATTCTACATATACTGAATGTGATGAAATGATCATACATGAGTCCCTAACTTCACAATACCTAATAAATATTCCTGATTCGGGAACCCTAGATGATGGTGATAATCACCATAAACTGTGATGTCAATGAAAAATCCATGTGTCCGGAGTGCAATGTTTTCTTTTCTTGTTATAGTAAGTGCCTCTTGCATTTTACAAAGCTTTGTGGGTGAAATTTTATGATTGTCAGTTGTGTATTATTTAATTTAGAGCCTGTTTAGAAAGAACTAATATTTTTTACTTATTTCATGTTTGCATATGCAGGAAGAAGTCAGCTATGAAAAGCCACAACAAAAACACAGAAGATGATATGGATGACTTGGACGAGAGACCAATTAGGTGACAAAAAAACAAAGAAGAAAATGTTGCTTCAGAAATCTACCGATGAGAAAGTGGTGGTTAAAGTGAATGAGTTTGGTGTTCTTGCTGGTGAGGGCTGGACTGAACTGGCCAGTCCAGTTACATTGGGGTATTGGTGAGAGACCATGTGCCGATAATGTATGATGATTGGAGAGCAGTTCCAGAGAAAATCACAGACAACATTTGGGGAGCATATTCTGGTAAGTAATAAGATATTTATTATACTGCATTGCAG